AAATATAGATATGAATAAATGGATAATGGTTGTATGATAAATAACTTTTATTTTCTGATGAAGCGAGGATAAAAAAAAAACATAAATATTTGTTTGTTTGAAATAATAATAAAATAAAAAAAATATTAATAAAATTATTCCTTTTATTTATTATTTTTTTTTTTTTTAAACGTTAAGTGGAGCCGGTTTTTTTTTTTTGAACGTTAAATGGAGCCGGTTTTTTTTTTAAACGTTATTTTTTTATATAATTTAATTCATATAATTCATATATATATATTTATCTTAAAGTAAAACAAAATAAAATTCAAAGTATTTAATTATTATATACATATGCATTTTATTTTAATCTGCATAATAACCAACAACATATCTACTAATAATGTGCACGCGTGTGTAAAATAATGCAATTAAACTTATATATAAGTATATGAAGTTTAATTATTAGTTTAAACCGAATATGAATTCATTTATCAGATATTTATTACTTAATATTATTATATAATATTTAAAAAAACTATATAAATAAATTTATGTAACGTGATTATTAAAATAAAATTAGAATACCATATTAACTAAATAAAGAAAACGTTAAGGCAAATTAGGAATTTGTATTTGATGAATAGAAGATTTAAAGTGAAGTGATGATAGTATATGATTAATTTTTTGAATGAAGAAATACTATTACAAAATTCATTATTTTGAACGGATTTTCTTGCGCATGTTGTGTCACGTAATTAATTTTTTTATATACAAATATACAAACAACGTTAACATAATTGTAAATCGATCATCCCACTAAAATAAAATAATAAATGATTTGTTTCAAACAACAAAGAAAATAAATTTATTTAATTATTTAATTTTAATATCTTTTCTCTTCGTTATAATCAAAATTAAGACTATATCATCGTAATAATCCTTGTAGAAGCGTGTGGAAGTGTGTGTGTGACCCAAGAAATTAGTCAGGATCAATACTAATTACTACTATCATTTATTATTTTTTATTCATCCACATTCTCTGTCTCATACAACGCAATAAATCCTTCGATTATTTATCAAAGTCATCAATTAATTCGATTATCCATTCATTTATCCATTCATTCGTTAATTAATTAATTCATTCATTCACTTTCTCCCAGAAATCATTAATTCTATCTTCTAAAATTTAATTCCATTTACATTATTATTAACTTTCCCCATTTTAAGATTGTTATAACTTCCGAAAAATATAAAACTCAAGCAAATTATTATTATAATATTAAATCCAATTAATTAAAGTTCATTGACATACCCCTTCATCCTGCAAACACTAAATATAATTATAATTATTTCCTAAATGAATACATTATTACGCAAACATTTGAGCTCCCACCTATAATAACACGCTTACATATATTAATATAATATTATTATCTAACGTAAATTTATGCATTGAATTTCTTTAAAGATTTTCTAATCGAAGAAAACCATTGTTTTAAAAAGTTTAATAATAGATTTTATTAACAAACAAAAAAAAAACAAAACAAAACTAAAACTATTTTAATTTAATTGATCTTCAAAGTTTTTTAAATATTTGTTCTCATAAAATAAATTCTTTCCTGTCACAACAAGTTGACTTTATAGTATTTTCTTTTTGATCTTATAATTTTTACTATACACGCATTTTCTAATTATAAAAATCATTTATTGTTTTATTATGGAGATATCTAATAATAATAATCACAATCATTTATCATTATCGTCATCATAATCATAATCATAATTATCATATACTGCTTATTTCCCCACACAGAAAGTTATATGCATCATGTGAAATGTGAATGAAATGTTTATTCTCTGCATGTTACACGGGGTTGTGATCTTCAACGTTAATGTATTATACATTTATGACCATTTTTATAGATGATCTACCAAAAAAATCATGCTTTCCACACTTTTTTTTTTTCTGCCAGAATGATAATAATAATGAATTGACATGACATGATTGGTTCTGTAGAATTATATATATAATATTATAATTGAGTAAATGTATCACCAATATGATTAATGTGACAAAGATTTTGTTTTTAATTCATAAATGTTCACCTGAAATCTTTTTCCCCTTATTATTATCAATTCCTTAATAATTTTTTCATAATCAAACAAACAATAAAAATAAAAACTTTTATTATAAATGAAGAATTTGGATTGGTTCTAAAAGTATTGAATGATAATTTAATTTACTTGCAATCATGGTAAAGACTTTCTACAAGACTAAAGCAAGTTTGTCATCTCGTGATTTATGTGTGATTTATTCTTTCTCCCCTCATCCAATCATCCTTCCCCCAGTTATCTTTCCTCACACTCATGTTGTCTGTTTCTTTAAAAAATCTAACTAATAAGCGACCTATCATCAATCACTTTCATACTATTTCAAATTAAACACACATATTCGGCTGATAAGTAAAATCCGGGTCTTTTCTGGTTAATTCGAGTATCATGCCCTGCTCTCTGATTTAAAATATATATGTATATATATATAAATATATATTTGAAACATTTTATTATTATCTATATTTATATATATTAACGATGATGGTGTAAAGATTGAAAATAACCAAAATAATAAATCAGACGCCTAGACCACGTCATTTATTTATCTAAAAATCTAGATCGCAATTTTTGGGTCAATGGTTTATGTTTTGGTAAATTATCAAATAATGTGCACTATTTATTTATTTTATTGTCAAGATGATGTAATATAATAAAAAATTAACTGTCTTATTATGTAATTCATTACATACTTTATTTGTTGTTTTCTCGATTTTGTACTATTAAAAATGCACGTGAAATATTTTTTTGTACATATATATATATATACTCTTCTACGTTTAGTAAATAAAAACAAAAAATTGCATAATCATAAAGTTGTTTTTTTCCTCCGCATTTAATATTAATATTATGTTATGTTGCAATATGGCGTGTATGTGTAACGTATTGTTGGGGGGAGTTAATTCAACCATTCGAGTTTTTACGCGTAAAAAAAACTTTAATTACCTCTCTTCTTTAAATTAATTCTAAAAAAATTTTTTTTTAATTACTTTTTTTTTTTATAAAATTATTCTTTAATAAAAATACTCGTTAAATTGGGGAAGTGATTTTTTTTAAAAAATAAAGTTAAACGCGAAGGATGTAAAAATACATCACAAACGTCAACCCTGGGTGATGCCCAGGTTGAAATTTTAATGGAGATTTTTTCAACTATATAAAATATTCTCGTAACGTGATCGTGGCATATTCCCAAAAGCTAATTCATTTTCATTCTATTTTTTTTTTTCAAAGATGTTTGTGTTGCACATAGTATTAGTGTAACAGATGCTTTTATAATAGCCAATAACATCTCTACAACGTGATATGTCATCATTAATTAGAACCCTTTTATTTTTATTTTTGCGTTTTTGCATTTTTATTTGTACCTTTTTTCTTTGTTTATAAACAATAAATAATTATTTTCTTTCTAATTATTCACTAACGTACCACACACACACACATACTATTATTATTATTATCATCATTCCTTCCCCAAAATTAATGCTTTAATTACACCATATTTACCATCTCTGACAATTTCGAAAGCTTTCAATGCGTCCTCAAATTTGAATCGATGAGTAATCAAAGGTTTCAAATCGATCAATCCAGCTGTTACCATATCGATTGCTTTCTTATACGTATTACAATATCTAAATGTCCCTTTTATTGTAATTTCTCTAACTCCAATATCTGTAATCGGAATGGTGACTTTGTCATTACCCATTCCGACTTGGACAAATGTTCCGCCTGATTTAGTCATCTAGAAAAAAGAAAGAATATTCATTGTCATTATAATAATAGTTACAACAATAACAATAATAATAATAATAAATAATAAATAATAATAATAATAATAATAATAATAATAATAATAATAATAATAATAATAATAATAATAATAATAATATTTATTGCTTACAAATATTCCAGTTTGAATTGAAGTTTCAGCTCCTGAACATTCAAATACCACATCTGCTTGTTCAACACCTCCAAAATCAACCAAATCTTTAGAATATTTTTTCCAATAATCAATATTGTTGCTATTTTTAATATTATTATCATCAATTAAAATGGTTTGATTAGCTATATAATTCTTGGCAAAGTTTAACCTATCTTGATTTATATCAAACATTGTAATTTTTACAGATCCTGAAGCTTTTGCAACAGCTGCTGTCAATAATCCAACAGGTCCTGCTCCAAATATTATTACAGATTGTCCAACTCGCAAATCTGCTTGTTTACAAGCATGTACTCCCACAGATAATGGTTCTATAAGTGCTGCTGCCTCTTCCAAATTTACATTTTCATCATTTTCTATCAATTTCACACAAAAATCTTCAGCAGTACAATAATATTGACATAATGTACCATCATATGGTGGAGTTGCTGCAAATTTCATATCTTTACACAAATTATAACTTCCATTTTTACAAAATTCACAAGTATGGCATGGTACTCCTGGTTCAATTGCTACGCTATCACCAACCTTTAAAATTTTACAATCTTTTCCTACTTTTGTAACTTTTCCACATGATTCATGTCCTAGTACAATTGGTTCTTTAACTATCCAATTTCCTATATGTCCGTGCGACCAATAATGAACTATATTATATATATGAAGATAAAATATGATGTGATAAGTGGTAATGATTATTTAATTATTTTATACACTTTTACACACGTAATATATTAAATTACCATCAGAACCACAAATCCCAGTTGCTTTTATTGATACTTCTACTTCATTGGGTTTTGGTTCAATTCTTTTTCTATTCTCTAATTTAATGTCTCCTATACCATAAAGTACCCAAGAAAGATTGTTGTTATTATCATCAGACATAATATTTAAAAAAAAATTGGTGCTGATTAATCATGTGATAGCCCCTAAAAAAAATAATAAATAGATCATTTTTATAAAAAAATTATTCAAGATGTCGTTAAATACTTCTTCATTTTTTGATACTACTAATGCTAACCAAGAAAAAAATCCTTTACATAATTCACAAATACAAAACATTCCTTCTTCTTTCTCTCCTCTTGTGAATATAAAAAAAAGTCATAAACACCATCATCATCATCATCATCATCGTCATCATCGTCATCATGTATCGACGACAACAACAACGACAACGACACATTCGAAATCTTCTTCTCGTCATCGTCATAAAGAAAAAAAACGAAAAGAAAATTTATTTGTTAATTTAGATCTTTTTTATTCTTCTAATTATGAGATATCTTTTGAAGAACTTCGAGCAAAAACTTTAGGATTGTTACCATTAGGAAAAGATGAAAAAGATCAAGTAATTGTTCATAATAATAATTATGATGATGACGATATTATGAAAACAATTTTCACCGGCAAAGAAATTGAAAAATCAAAAGAAAATTCCAATAAAAAAATAATTGTTACTAAACAAAGTTTGGAATTTAATAAAATGTCATCTAGTGGTATAAATAGAGAGTATAATATATATATATATATATATATATATTTATCCTCATTATTATTATTTCTAGTGTATAAATTTAATATTTATTTTATTGATTAATTCATATTAGACATAAAGTCTAAAGAAATCATCGGAACGATAATACCTTCTACAACTAAAACTAAAATAAACAACAATTTAGAATTATCAGATATGATGGAAATGTTCTTATCTTATGAAAAATTTCATGAATATAATAACAATGATAATAATAATAAATCAATAAAAAATGATAACATAATACAAAAAACAAATCTGAAGCAATCAAAAACCACTATATTCAAAAACATTAATAACGATAATAGAATTTCCTCTTGTCAGTATAACAATTACAATCACAATCATGAGAATGGTAGTCCATCTGTTTCTGCCGCTAGCACATTTCATCATTATTGTCATCAATCTACTACTACTGTTGCTACTAAAATAATAATGGATGAAAAGGACATCAAATGCAACAAAAACTATAACAATAAATATTTTAATCTAATTACTTCACCTTCACTAAAAAACTTCAACGAAAAAAAAGTCAACACAAATAAATTATTACTATTTCCAATTCCATCAAATCCTTGTAAACCTTTAAATCAAAATCTAATAGAAAAGATTTTGAATTCATTAAACAATTTTTTGAATGATTATCCTGAATACCATGATCTAAGAAACCAGAATTCAAATCAACATGAAAAAATCTTACGAATTTTACGACAGAATAAACCTCAATCTCGTCATGCTATTAATAATATCAATGATAACACAACAACAACAGGATGTTATTCATCAGAAATTGATGATAATTCAATTCAAATTTTAGATAAAACTTTTATAGTTTGTAATAAAATTGGTGAGGGTTCATATGGAAAAGTGTATCGTGTTCTTGATAAAAAAAAATTTATTGAAAGTGGCATCAATATTAATAACAAAAAAAACAATAATGTTAATGCCTCTATAGCATTGAAAATTCAAATACCACCTAGTTCTTGGGAATTCTACATAATTAAACAATTACATCAAAGACTCTTATCAACAACAGCAGCAGTAACAACAGTTAATTCAATAATAAAAGTTTTTTCATTATGTTATTATAAAAATGAAAGTTACTTATTGACAGAATATTGCAATCATGGATCATTATTAGATCTTATCAACAACTTAAAAAAAGATAATTCACAAATAGATGAAATTCTGGTAATTTTTTTTACAATAGAACTACTCAAGGTGATTGAATCAATTCATAAAGTTGGGATAATACATTGTGATATAAAGGTTGACAATTGTCTTTTGAGATTAGAATCATTGTCATCAGAAGATAATAATAATAGCAACAAATGGGATTCACAATATAATCCATTTGGTGAAAATGGTTGGTCAAAAAAAGGAATAAAATTGATTGACTTTGGACGTTCAATTGATGTTACATTGTTCCCACCCAATATGAAATTTATTGCAGATTGGAAGACTGATGAAGAAGATTGTGTTGAAATGCGTGAAGGAAGACCATGGAAATGGCAAGCTGATTATTATGGATTAGCTGGTGTGATATATTGTATGCTACATAATGAATACTTACAAGTCACTCAAACTCACATAAATAATGATGGTTATGATTGTAATATTGATAATAGTAATAGTAACAAGTCATCATCATCATCATCATCATCATCATCACTATCAAAAAAAATACGATATAGGCCAATGTTGCCATTCAAAAGATATTGGCAAGTGGATTTATGGAAAAGATTATTTGATATTTTATTAAATTCTTCTTCATTGCTAAGATCCATTGATAATGATGATGGTGATTTGTTGTTAGAATTGAAAGAAATTCGGAAAGAATTTGAAAATTATTTGGTAGAGAATTGTGAAAAATCTGGAAAAAGTCTTAAAAGTTTATTGAAAAAATTAGAAGTGAAAGCCAATACATAAAAAATATAATCATATGAATAATAATTAATTGAAAATGTTTTCGTGCTCATTTCTAATGGGTTTTTGAATATATGGGCACAATTAAATAGAAAGGTGAATCCTTATTTATTTATTTATTGGTTACCTAATAAGCCACAACTAAGTATGGGATAAAACATATTAATATCTAAAACAACCCATAAAAATGCCTTTTTTCCACCAATCAATTTGCTACATTGTTTTCTTTTTTTTATTTTGAGAAAGAAAGTTTTAATTAATAAGCAGGATAAATACTTTATTATGGAATAAATTTATAGATTTATTATTTATTTGGTTATTATAGTTGTGATATTAAATATCTTGAGAAATGAAAATATATTTAATAGTGATATTATATAAAGGTAATAGCTTCTCACAATTATCATATCTTTGGATTTTTTTTTCATTTGAATTTGGATGTAAAATATGCACACTAAAAAAATGTAATTTTTAATAATCCACAATGGCAGTGTTATTTATTTCTTGCCTTTTCAAATCAATGTTTTCATTTTTTTATAGCATTAACAAGTTGAAGTGATAGATGTACTTATCAATATATCATATAATATATTTATTAATATTAAAAAATCAAATTTAACACATGTATCTGACTGAATCATTTAAATTAGAGGCTTGCCTCGTCCTATTGATCAGATCCCAATTAGATTTGTCAATCATTTTACAGAATTACAGATTACAGATCTTGACACTTTGTTGCAAATAGCATGACAGCTCTATAATTTCTGCAAATCTGACAGCATCATTAGTAAATACGTATATATATTCTTCAGAACCACACAAAATAACGTTTCTAATAAATTAAATTAATGAATGCCTGGTTTCTCTTCCTTGTCACTTGCATGTTCAATTAATATTTGGTTAAAAATTAAAAAAAAAAGATCGGCAAAAATTTTATTTTTAAAAACTTAATTAGATTTTCCCGATAAAAATAGGTTGACTATAAAAAAAAACTTTTGTTAATAAATATAACAAAAATAAAAATGGAAGATCTTGACGAAATTCAAAAGCTCGAATACCTTTCAATGGTATCAAAAATTACCAGTGAAATATTTAATCATACTGGTTTAAATGATAAAATTCTAGGCAAGTTATTTTTTTTAATTAATCTTTAAAAATAATATATATTTATTCATTTATACTCTCTTCTAAACACAAAAATACTTTACTATTATTATTATAGCTGAATTTATAATTAATTTACACGAACAAAATCAAATTCTACCAAAATTTCAAAAGGCTTTGAAAGATGCAGATGCAGATTTCCAAGAATCTTTTATTACCACTCTGGATCGTTTGATCCGAAAAATGAATCCAAAATATAAATCTAAGGAAAAAGAAAAGGGAAAAGTATTAAATGGTGATGATTATAATAATAATAATAATAATAATAATAATAATAATAATAATAATAATAATAATAATAACAAAGATGTAGAAAATAAAAGCCCAGATAATAAAAAAATGGTTATAAATGAATCAAAAAAAACCCCCCCTATAATTGATAAAATAACGACAGCCGATGATCATGATAAAATAATACATGATGAAAAAAGAAAAAAGTGGGTTGATAATAATAATGATGATGACATAGAAAGAGTAGTAGATAATATCAAAAAAAGACGCCATATAGAAAAAGATTATGATAGTTATGATAGTTATGATAGAAGCAGTTATGATGATTACAAGAGACGTTATAGGGGAAGAGATGATGATTATGATGATGACAGAATGCATGATAATAGAAGGCGAAGTGAAAGAGAAAAAAATGATGACTATAAAAGAAGTTACGACAGAGAAAAAAATGATGATTATAAAAGAAGAAGTTATGACAGAGAAAAAAATGGTGACTATAAAAGAAGTTATGATAGAGAAAAAAATAGTGACTACAAAAGGAATTATGACGGAGGAAAAAATAGCAATAAATCATATGTCAAAGAATTAGACGAAAAACCAGTACTTTATAAAATATATAATGGTAAAGTGACAAATATCAAAGATTTTGGCGCTTTTATAGGGTTGGAGGGCGTTAAAGGAAGAGTTGAAGGTAAGAAAAATATATATATATATAATAATGACATAATTTTACAGCACGTATATATATATATATAGTCATATACATGCACATATAAATTTTCTTTGCCTAATAACCAACGTTTATTAAATTAAACCAAAAGGCATGGTTCATGTGTCTATGCTAGTAGCAGGTAGAAGGGTTTCTCATCCCACCGAAGTTGTATCACGAAACCAACAAGTGAAAGTGAAAGTGATGTCTGTGGCTGCTTCAAGAATTAGTTTGTCCATGAAAGATGTGGACCAAATTACTGGTCAAGATTTGACTCCACATTTACGTATAAAAACCGAAGAGGTGAAGATAAAATTATTACCATTATTACTTGTTTTCAGATTAAACATTCGTATATATTTATGCGTTTTCATTTTTTTCAACAGGAACTTGCCGAAGAGTCTTTACATAACGCTGAATCTTTTTCATTTGGAAAAGTTCCTATTGTTGATGATAATGAGGGATCAAGCAAATTGAAGCGTCTTACATCTCCTGAACTTTGGGAATTAAAGCAACTTATTTCATCTGGTGTCCTGAATGCATCAGAATTACCAAATTATGATGAAGAAAATGAAGGTATCTTTGAGAATATGGAAACTGAAGAAGAACTTGATATTGAAATTCGAGAAGAAGAGCCACCATTCTTAAGAGGTCAAGCTAAAAATTTGTTGCAACTAAGTCCTATAAAGGTTGTTAAGGCACCTGATGGTACATTAAATCGTGCCGCTCTTGCAGGTACAAGTCTTGCTAAAGAGCGTAAAGAATTACGGTATGAATTTATTTATATTGCTTGATATGATAATATAAATTATTATTATTATTACTATTATTATTATCATTTCATTTTAAATTGTTTATAATAATAATACCTTTTTAATATATATCTTAAAATAGTCAACAACAAACAAATGCAGAATTGGATTCGGTTCCAAAAGACATCAATCTTCCTTGGTTAGACCCTATGCCTGAACCAGGTGAACGTCATTTTGCACAAGATTTAAGAGGTATTGCAGCTGGTAGAAAAGCTGGCGAAGTTCCAGAGTGGAAAAAAGAAACATTTAATAAGGCTACAAGTTTTGGCAAGGTGACATCTTTGAGTATTCAGGAGCAAAGGAAAAGTTTGCCAATATATCAAATGCGTTCGTTGTTAATCAAAGCAATAAGAGAAGTAAGTTTCATTGAAAATTTATTTGAAAATCATGAATTTTTATATGATTATATTTGTAAATTTATTCTGACCATCTTTTTTTTAAAACAATTATTTATTCAGAATCAACAATTGATTATTGTAGGTGATACAGGGTCAGGAAAAACTACACAAATGACCCAATACCTCGCAGAAGAGGGTTTCGCTGAAACTGGTAAAATTGGATGTACTCAACCTCGTCGTGTTGCTGCAATGTCTGTTGCAAAACGTGTGGCTGAAGAAGTTGGTTGTCGTTTAGGTGAGGAGGTTGGATATACCATTCGTTTTGAAGATTGTACAAGTCCCACTACCAAAATAAAATATATGACGGATGGTATGTTGTTGAGAGAATGTTTGTTAGATCCTGAATTAAGACAATATTCGGTTATTATTCTTGATGAAGCTCACGAAAGAACCATACATACTGATGTATTATTTGGTCTTTTAAAAAGTAATTAGGTTAATTATATCATGTGTTTACAAATTATTTGTTGAATTAAGTTTTAACGAATTTAAATAATTTTTAGCGACTTTGAAAACAAGGCCAGAGCTTAGGGTAATAGTAACATCAGCCACTCTTAACGCAGAAAAGTTTTCGAAATATTTCTATGATTGTCCCATTTTCAGTATTCCTGGTCGTATGTTTCCCGTTGAAATACTTTATACAAAAGAACCTGAATCAGATTATTTGGATGCTTCTTTGATTACAGTGATGCAAATACATCTTTCTGAACCACCAGGTGATATTCTGCTTTTTTTAACTGGTCAGGAAGAAATCGATACAGCTTGCGAAATATTATATGAACGTATGAAAGAACTTGGACCACAAGTCCCTGATTTAGTTATTTTGCCAGTATATTCTGCTTTACCGAGTGAAATGCAATCACGTATTTTTGAACCTGCACCACCTGGCAGTAGAAAAGTTGTAATTGCTACTAATATTGCAGAGACTTCACTGACAATTGATGGTATATACTATGTTATTGATCCTGGTTTTGTAAAACAAAACGCATATGATCCAAAGATAGGAATGGATTCTTTAGTTGTTACAGTACGTAATGATTTTTTTTTTTTTTTGACAAGTTTATCTTATCTTATTTCTTATTTACTCAATTTTATTTTTTTCTAATATATATTTAGCCTATATCACAAGCTCAAGCACGTCAACGTTCTGGCCGTGCAGGGCGTACAGGGCCTGGAAAGTAAGTCTTAATTAGGTTAATTAGTATAAATTATTTCTATAATCGATTATCGTATACAGTTTATTAATGGAAAAAATTAATATCTTTAATAGATGCTATCGTCTTTACACTGAAGCTGCATATCGTAATGAAATGCTTCCAAATCCAATACCTGAGATTCAGCGCACTAACCTTGCAAATACAGTATTGACACTGAAGGCTATGGGTATCAATGATTTAATAAATTTTGATTTTATGGATCCACCACCTTCTCAAACACTTTTCACAGCATTAGAACAATTATATGCACTTTCTGCACTGGATGATGAGGGACTTTTGACAAGATTAGGACGTAAAATGGCAGAGTTTCCATTGGAGCCGCCACTTTCTAAAATGTTGATTTTATCTGTTGATTTAGGATGCTCAGAAGAAGTCCTTACTATTGTTGCAATGCTTTCCGTACAAAATGTTTTTTATAGGCCAAAAGATAAACAAGCACTCGCTGATCAGAAAAAAGCAAAATTCCATCAACCCGAGGGCGATCACCTTACATTACTTACTGTTTATAATGCATGGAAAGCAAATAAATTTTCCAATCCATGGTGTTTTGAGAATTTTATTCAAGGGCGTAGTATGAAGAGGTGTCAAGATATTCGTAAACAATTATTAGGTATCATGGATCGGTATAAACAAGACATTATTTCGTGTGGTAAAAATTATAATAAAGTTCGTAGAGCGATCTGTGGCGGATTTTTTAGGCATGCAGCTAAAAAAGATCCACAAGAGGGTTACAAGACTTTAGTAGAGGGCACTCCAGTATATATCCATCCTTCAAGTTCATTATTTAATAAAGGACCAGAATGGTTAGTGTTTGTTATACAGGCAAATTTATTAATTTATTTAGCAATTATTCATATGTATATATAATTAACAAATTAAAATATTTTAGGGTAATTTATCATGAACTTGTATTTACGACTAAAGAATACATGAGAGAAGTTACAGCAATTGAACCAAAATGGCTTACTGAAGCTGCACCAACTTTCTTTAAAGTGGCCGATGCTAATACTATTAGTAAGAGAAAGAGAAGTGAAAAGATTCAACCATTATATAATAAATTCGAAAAACCAAATGAATGGCGTTTAAGTCGCGTAAAAAGACATCAAAGGGTTTCACAAACCTTTGGTTAATTTACATATTAATTTTACTTTTAGTTAAGAATTTAATAAATAAAATAATATAAAATACTTTTTGAAAATCATTTATGTATAAAAAATATAGATGTAATAATTTGTATTTAATACATAGAATACTTAAATTACCAATTATTGACTATTTTGATAATAAATTTCCAATTTTAATATTTATTAATTAATAGTAATAAATAGTGGATGGAAAATTCACAAAAAAAGAAGCAAATAATAAAAAGAAAAATAATTTGGTCGCAGCTATAAAATAAGCAAGCATTAGAATATTTGTTACCAGGTACTGTCACCGCCACTACAACTGCTAAAATCAATAATAATATTAATAATAACGTGCTAATGATGGTAATAATGGTGGTAGCAATAGCATTAAAAAAATAAGAGGTCACACAATTACGACAATAATAATATGAAGGAGACCCAAATACAATGAACCCTTGTTTCAACGAAGTATAATTAAATTTTTGATACAACGAATTTTTAAAAACATTGTTACACATTATGAAAACATATAAAAATTCGTTGAAACGCGATTAGTAACCTTGTTTCAACGAATGTCGAATAAAATTTTCTTATATGTCCAGCCACTTCGTTGAAACAAGGGCAGACTGTACATTGAAGTTCTTGAATTGGTTGATCATTACTATTTGTATCTACTTGCTAAAACATTCAACAATTTTTCATTGTTTCAGTCAGTTACTCTTTGAACAAAGTGTGATTGCATTTAAAATTTTTAATGGTCCAAAAGGTTTTGATGCATATCATAAGCATTGATTGATTTCTGTTTTCAACAAGTAATTTTCTATAATGAGGCTTAAAGCATGTAAGTTAGAATAAATATCTAATACGTACTTTGAATGAGTAAGTTATTCCTGCATCAGTCAGTAGGTTGCAGCATAGCAGTTGTGTTAAACAAAATTGTGTGCGTTAATTTATTATTTATTTACTTAAAAAAGTAATAATTTTCAATTTTTATTTATGGGATTTCAAATTCTTTAAGTTTTTTTTATTTGGTGAGAACACAATCAATCATAGTAATACCAACAATCGGTTTAGCTTTATGGGGGGAGGAGGAGTAAGTAATCATTAATCAATATTAATATTCAATTTTTTTTTAGGTAATAAAGTTGCAACGTTTATTTATGTGGTTGCCTCTATAATTATGATTGCAAATTTTTATTTTCATACTTGCTTATGTTATAATTAAACATGAAGAAGCATTATTGGTAATTATTATTATTATTATTAAATCAATTATGTAATTAGTGATATTTATTGATAATAATCTAATTTTCCAATAGTTGATTTGGAATTAAGTTGCCAAGAATTTTCAATTGATAAATCAATCAACTAATAAACAAACAAACAATAAAATCATATATATATATATAATAAATATTTATATAGTATTAAATCAAATAAATTCAATTAACCAATTCAACCAATTCATTCAATCAACTTTTCACCTACTGTATGTAATTGACATACATTACTATTATTCATATTAATTAATAACCTACCAATCAACTTATCATCAATCAATCAACTAAAACCATCAAATAAATCATCAATTTATAAATATGTATAACTATAGACATGCAATCTGTCCCCCCAATCACTCTATCTGACCCATCCCTCCATCCAGCCAAATCTATAGCATTATCATTAAATGAACAACCCCCTCTTTCCCAATTATATCTATTCATCTATCTGACCACCAACTAACCAACCTTTCATTCATTCACTCAACAATATTATATAATTGAGAAGAGAAACAATATTATTAATCTGATCATAAATAAAAGATGTAGTAGATTAATTATTTTGTAAAATATAAAAATAAACAATTTTTATTCTTTGAAAGATTGTTTTTTATAACTTGTTATAATTATTGCAAAAAATATATATACATCTTGTGGAATTATCTTTGTATTTTATATTATAATTATTTTTTTGAAATATATAGATCCCTTAAACGGTTTTTCGGCTATTGATAGCCGAAAATTTTTTTCTGTTATAAAAAACTTTTTATGAAGGTATCACTTCCTAATACGAAAATGATCTCTGAGGTTCAACTAATTGATCTGTGAATAAAAATTCGGTTGTTGTCCTTGTGGTTTTCGTAAAATCTTTTTTAAAAGCTGGTCGATTGACTATTTTTACTTTGCAGATCGTTAAATTGGCCAATAAGAATGCAATATCGTGATCAAAAAATCATTTTGTGTTACCATTAAAGAATACTTTGACCGTTTAAGAGATAGTATCTCGAATTCGTGTAACGAGGCAGTTCTCATTATTTCATAGGTCAGTTTTATTGAAAAAGGTCTCAAATGAAAAAAAAATGAATGATCTGATCTTTGAAGCTTCGAAATCTCCAACCATAGCAACTCCACTTACACCATTTACTTCCACGCCAATAACAAGCGATAATAAAGCTGAAGAAGAAGAAGATGATGCGGAAGAATATACTGAAATTAGGGCAGCAGGTGAATTTGATTGGCAAATGCACACTAGAACGAAAGAAGAATTAAAGTATCAAAGAATCTTAATTGATTAATCGTTTTATTAATTTATTATTATTACTAATTTGTTTCCACTTTCTTCTTAGATTATTATTGGATAATTTTTCAGAAGATCAACTTAAAAGATATGAAGTTTATAGAAGATCTGCTTTAAGTAAACCTAATGTTAGAAGGGTAATAATTATATATATATATATATATATATACACACACACATAATTTATTATTTTTATCATTACTAATCGTAAATAATGAAAATGGCTATTTATTTTGTACATACATATATTTAGTTGGTAAGTCAAATTTTAGGTCAACCTTGTTCTCATAATATGGGAATTGTTGTTGCAGGTTTTACCAAAGTATTTGTTGGAGAAATTGTCGAGAAAGGTAAAAAATGAGAAAATAAAATTATTAATATTTTCGTTATATATATTAATTTAATAATTTTTAAAAATAACAGCATTAGATGTAAAAAACGAAAAGGGTGAAGTTGGAGCATTAACGCCAGTACACTTAAGAGAAGCATTCAGAAGATATAAGAATGACACTGGGTTTGAAAGTCATCTTTACCAAAAAAGATTATTCAATAAATAAATATAAGCATATCACTTTTGTCATTGTTATTAATTAATCTTATATATATATATATATATTATATAGTTACTGTATGACTCATTTCATATAAAATAATATTTTTATTACTCACGTTGAAAGAAAAAATTTTATTGTCATTCCTTACTATTTAAAATTACATAAATACAAATAAATTAGATAAATAATGAATATAAATACAAGTAGATGATGAATATGTTGGAAAATAATAAATTAATCAAATGGATGAATTGTTTTTTCCTTTACATACAACCATTCTGTAACATTAATGTTATAACAGTAATAAATATAATAAAAGTATTAACCCATAATCCATTACTACCAACATTAACAATAATATCCTTCACTCCACTTGTTGTTGGTCGATAACCAAAAGGTCCAGTAGTGGTCGAGGGATAAGCAACAATAGTTGTACTGGAATTGCTTGTGATGGAAGCAACAGCTGCACAAGCATCTCTAATATATTCAATTGAAGGTGGCGTTCCATCAGTATTCAATGTGGTGTTCTGTTGATTTGTAGCTTGAAAACATTCCACACATAATGGATAAACTTTTAGAAATGTATCAAGACATGCACACTTTGCAGCTTCGACAAATCCCAGGGGATCGTATAAGACACTACTAAAATTTTTGAATATTTCGTTTGATTTCGTACATGAGTCTATTGTAGAATAATTTTTTTGACATTCTACACATGATTGTATGTTTGGATCAAAATATGGAGTTTTTTGTTGCCCCGAAATTACAATTGGAATAAGCGTAAAGAAAATTATTACAATAATGATGTAAATTTCAAACAAAAATTTTTTTAATGAATAATTGTAACTTCTCATAGTTGATAATAAGTTAATAATAATAAGTTGATGAACAAATTGGAGAAAAAATTAAGGTTCTTTACGTGACGTACGTGACATTTCCATTTTTGAAAAATAGTTCAAGGAGTTATTACTATTTATAGCAAAACTTTAAAATTTTTTGATTCACAAATCTGCTGATCAAAGTTTACTCCTCAGGGGTGATCGATCAAAATTTACCAAAAGCTTGTCATGTTGGTTTTTTATCTCATTTACAATGAAAGGTTAAGCGGTAAGGAACATTCTTCTATTCGTTCCGGTTCTGTGTCCGTGTGGGATGAAAGAGAAATTGTTATGAGACGTTGGACTGATGGTAAAAGTTGGTCTGCAAGTAGAATCAATGGAAGTTTTTTAACCTACAGAGAATTAGAATCATCTAGCTCTTGTGGTAATAATAATTCTCATGATTTATTAAGCGAAGACACTGATTCAAGTGAATTTTATCATTCCTCCTCAACCACCAAAAAATCTATATCAATTAAACAATGTAGATAAGCGTGATGATTTGGTAAAACACATTAGAAATTATATTTAATATTTTATTAGACCAAAGCTGACATTATTCAAGAAAAATTATCAATACCACCAATTCATGTCAAAAGGAACATATCTGGAAATTTATATTTTGGGCGGTAACAACCTCAATAATAATGATAATGATTAGTTCTGGAAACGTTGGCAACAACAATACTAATAATTCTCCTCGCCATAATCTTCACCAATAATATCAACAATATTACAATCACCATCATCACCATCATCCTGTTCTACATTATTCTGGTAACAACGTCACCCCAACAATTCCAACCACTTCTCACTCATAATAGTCATAAAATAATAATTCATCATAATCATCATAATCATCATCATCATCATCATCATCGTCATCTTTTCCTTTGAATTTCATTTTGAAATAATTTGCCAATAAAAAATTTTTTAGATATCGATGGAAAAACAAAAAAGCTGAATACCCAATTCTATCTTCATTAACATACCAGTATTTGGGAATTTCTTCTACATCAGTACCTAATGAAAGCCTTTATTCTGTGGCTCTGATTGAACTCCTTCAACATCAATTAAAATACTATCTTTTCTCGTCAAAAAATTTCTCAAATGACTAAATGATTATTTACAAACATCATAAAATAGCTTAGAAAATCATGATTTTATTATTTAATCGTTATTGTCATTACCCTTAACAGTTAAAGATATTGTTGATGATGTTGTTGATGTTATAGATACTGTTGAGATTGAGGCTGATTTTATTGTTTACTTATTGAATTTCAGCTGTGGATGATGATGACATTAACCGTCGAAATAAATGAAGAAAATTCAACTATATATATAATTTTTTTAGATTTCAATATAAAAAAGTTTAGAAAACTAGTTTGTTCAATTTGTTGTTGATATGTTGAAAATAAATCTGGGGTCATGATGTTTATAATGTGTTTGTGATGAGTATCCAACTCCTAGCATTGATGATTCAGTTTTTTTCCTAACAAAAAAAAATCTATTTTTTGTTGTTAACCTGTAAGATTGATGATAATTATATGAAGTTCCGGTGTAACAGTAGATATTTGGGTGGATTGAAAACTGAAGCTTTTGATTCATGTCTTTTTATATATCAAATTAAAAAAAAAATTTCAATAAATTCATTTTTAAAAATTATTTTGTTTATATTGATTTTGAATTTTAATGACATCTTTCTTTCTTGCAATTTTTCACATGTATCTTCCCACTGATTCGTATTCATATCTCACTTTCAAAGGTGACATGTAATATAGAAATTTTATTATTATTACCTTGCCTCAGGCAAAGAAGCAAAATTTTATCCAAAATACTTTGATAAATTCTTCATATGTATAAATATTATTATTCGTGAATCATGATCATGACTTGATTCTTGTTAATTGTATAAACTTTAACGGCAGTTGGTTACGACCTGATCTTTAACTTGGTCTTTCTGGCAAGTCTATAGTGTTTTTGTGTGTTTAAAAAAACTCACCAATATATATAAATGATGTTTTATCTCCTTCGTTCATGAAAAATTTGCAAATGAAATTAATATACACCCAATGCAAGATATATAGTACAATTGTATATGTAAGCAACTTTGTACCACTGAAATTATTTTAAAATCGTAAATCTTTTTCAAATCTTTCAAATTATTCATGTCACATAGAAAACTACGTAATGTTCAACAGCCCTCGCCATCATTTCCAGCAAAAACATCCAATCAATCAGAGAAAGAAAAGAAAGATCATATTGCTTCTATAACTCAATTATGGACAATGCCTCGTGCTACTTTGTTATTGATAACACCAATTCTCATATCAACAGTTCTCCAAGTCTCACCTCGTTATGTAGAGCCTGTTTATGGAAACGTTTTTTCAAATTTATATTTTGATAATGGAGCTTCAACTTCATTTATTTTTGGTATATTGGTTGGAGTTGGATTTTTGACCAAAATCAAAACTTGTTTATCGACAGTTCGTGACCAAAAAATAACAAATGCAATAATACTAGGAATTGATTATTGTGGATTAATATTTTCATTTTCAACATTAATGGTTAAATTACTATTTAAATTAAGTGGTCTACTAGGACCATACATAGGTCCACATGTGACTCAACTTGGTTTAGCATATCCGATCATGTTTTCATTGGGATTTCTTAATGCAATTGTTTGTGCAAGGTTATCTAGAGAACAACGACTAACAGTCATTAGATGGATGCCTTATGTTTTAATGCACACTGCTATCATCCAAACACTTACCTATGTTCTTTACAACGTTTATACCGCGGGTAGATCTTGTCATCGTTTAAACTTTGCAGGTTTATTGTTGGCATTGATAGGAGCCTTATTTAAAATTTTGAATATATATGGCAAGGTTAATTTGGTTGAAGATACGGCAGGTCAAAGAAATAATATATTTGATAATATTTCAAGATCGGCCAAATTAAGATCATTAAGTATCATTTTAATACCACAATTTCTTGTGATAATATTAGCAATATATAATTTTAATTTTAATCCACATTGCAATCCAAATATAATTCAGGTTTGATTTATTTTTATTGATTGATGTTTACATCACTATAGAAATAATTATTATTGTCATCATTTAGAATTTAACAATAAATGGTGCTGAATATAAAATACTTGCACGCAATGAATCAATTACTGGTTGGATTAGTGTAATTGAAACAAATAAACCTTATCATATGCGTGTAATGCGTGCTGGCCATTCATTGTTAGGAGGAATTTTTTTAAATACTTTTGATTCTGTTTATGGAAGTTTTTACTTTATGGAAGGTAAATGCAAAATAATTAACTATTTTTTTAATTATGATTTTGAGTAACACTAAACTTAATTATTAAATCTTTTAGCTGTTCGATTGGTTGAAAACAGAAAACGTAATACCAAAGAGAGAGCTTTACAGATGTATGTATGTAAACTAGCCTCAATTATTTTCTTTGGTATAGGAAAATGATTTTTACAATATTTTTTTAGTGGATTGGGAATTGGAGTTTCATCAAAATCGTTACAATTACATAAAGTAGCATTAGATATAGTGGAAATTGATCCAGTAGTATATGAGTATGCTAGAAAATTTTTTGGATTAAAACGTAAACACAATATTTATATTCAAGATGGACGTGAATTTATTAATAATGCAAATAGCCGATATTATGATTATGTGTTGCATGATGTATTTACTGGTGGTTCAGTTCCATCTACACTATTCTCAATAGAAGCATTAGGGCAAATTAAAAGAATTTTAAAGCATGATGGTGTGTTGGCTTTAGTAAGTGATGGAAAAAATTATTTTCTTTATTTAAAAAAAAAAAAAATTGTTAAAATGATTTTTTTTTTTGTTAGAATTTTGTTGGGTCTCAAAAATGGCCACATGTTAAAAGTTTAGTATTAGTTGCAAATACAATTAAAGCAATTTTCCCATATGTAAGGTGTTTCAGAGAAGGTTTACAAGAGGATGGTTTTTTTCAGAATATGGTAAAATATAAAAGTTATAATTTAATTATCATAACCTATTTATTTCTATTTATTTCTAGCTATTTTTAACTATAAAATATAAAATTTGTTTTAGGTATTTTTTGCATCAAATAAACCTATAAAGTTTCGCCCCACAACAGAACTTGATTATTTAAATAGTGCAATGAGGGAATCTATGCTAGAACAATTTACTAATTGGCCAGTAAATTTAGATAAATTTTCCAACATAAAAGGTGTCATAACAAGTCAGCAAAATCCTTTGGATGATTTGCAACACTTGTCAGCTTTTGAACATTGGAATGTCATGAGAAATTTGTTTCCATTGGAGGTTTGGATAAATTATTGAAATTTAGATATAAATTTTGTGCATTTATGTGCATGCATATATATGTCTGATTTTTAATGTAAATTTAGTAACAATTAATTTTGCTTTGACTTATATGTAAAAAACAATGCTTTGAGTGAGAAAAAAAGTGTGTATATATGTTTTTATCTAATGCATGAATTATCCTTAATTTTGCTTGAATTGATGGTAAAATTTATTTGAAGTTTCATATAAATATTTTTATGAAGTTGTGTACTATTCCTATTAAAATCTATTGTTCTGTAACAATGCCAGTTCAATTTGATTTCTGAATATTTAGATTGAAAATAACAAGCCAATTGTTTTCCCATAATGTTTAATAGATTAAAATAATTTATTTTCATTTCTGCTAAATGTTTAAAAGTATGAATTTGATGCTTATAGACAGTATTTTCACATAAAGTATAACCTGTTTCATAAAACCTTAGAATAATTCTATCTATAAAAAGTCCATAATGTTCTTCAATTAATTCTTCAAAAATCTCAACAAATTTATCAACATTATTACTAGCATTTTGTACTAACAAATCAATCCTTACATCTTCAACTGGAATTTGAAAGTAATCTAATTCTAACTCCAATTCTTTTCTTGTAACATGATGATAAAAAAACTGAGAGCTGTTGTTATTGTTATTGTTATGATTATGATCATTATTATTATTAGTAGCATTGGTATTATTATTATTACTGTTGTTGTTATTATTATAATTAATTTCTTTTGGCCAATTTATTGTTCCAGTTTGATAAAATTCCATGATATAATGAAATGCATAACCATTACGATCAAAAAAATATTCATTTATTATTGATTGGATGAAGTAAATCTTTATTTCTTTCTTGAAACATTGTTCCTAATAATGTATCAGGATATGCTGTAAGCGTTGAATGAAACATTTGGTGCTGTTAAATAAATGAGTAAATTTATTTATATACGAAGTTAATAATAATAATGATCAATATATTATATATGACCAACCCTCACACCACCAACAACCAATACAATAATTTCTTGATCTTTAGATTTGCTTGTCATTTTTATGAAATGTGTGTTAGTTTTTTATTATCAATCATTTTACAAAATTTTTGTGACCACTTTTCATTTCATAAAAAACGTGTATAAAATTGCTTTGGAACACAAATTAAGTGTATTGTTGTCAAAGGCCTCTCACTTGTACAAAGCCTACTAACATGTTGGAGTTCCCTCGCTTATTGAAGAGATTTTCTATAGTAACAAGGAATGCATTGCAATCAATTCGCATTTTTGTAAAAGGAGAATCTGACACTAAACATGTTAGCCGAAATTGTTTCTCTTAATAAATGATTGTTGCCGAATCCGAAATGCCGAAATAGTCTTACATAATTGCCGAAATTAACTTTATTAGTATCCGAAATTGTATCCGAATTATTTGAACACTTTAGCTCAATAGCCAAAATCCTGGGTGGTTTTTTTGTGTTTATAAATATAAAGAATGACCTAAATCCGAAATTGCCTGCCGAAATTGATTTTTTCAAAAACCATTTCGGCTAACATGTTTATCTGACACCTATGATCAACATCAGACTTAATTTTTTTTTTGGAGATGATTTACTACTTGTATTTGAATATAATTTGAGAGAAGTTAAAATTAATTACAACACAATAAATAGTCAATAAAAGGTCGTATAACAGCAGGGGCGGCGGTGATTATAAATTCATCAAGGAGCATTGTTAAACAATTGAAATTGCATGTTTTAGGTCAATTTTCAGATTATTATTCAAATTAAAGATGAAATTGTTTACATTTGATAGATTTAGCACATTATTAGTGAATTCGATATCAAATATAGGAATAGATATTATTAATTACACACATAAAGAATAACAGATTATTACTGTTGTTATTATTGAAGAATTGGCGGTGCTTTATCAACTTTCATAAGCATAGGCGTCCATTGTTATCATCATCATTGTCATAGTCATCTTCATAATCATCATCATCTTTATATTCTATATTAGTTTTAATGGGGTGATATAGGTCTCATCAGGAGCTGGCATGATTGGAACTTCATGCTCACATTCATCTTGATATATACTTTCAGGTGTAAACTACCTAATGAATCATTATTAAGACATCACCTTCTGATAATTGAATGTGCATCAACATCTTCGTGATGAATTATCTGATCCTGACTCATTTGTGTGTATAGAGTACATTAAATGACTGCTATCTGTTAAAGATTCATCGTCATACTCTGAATGATTTATTATTATTTATAAATGATAAATATCCTGATTTTATTAACGATTAGTGTTCCATGTCGCAATCCAAAAAGGGAAACCAAAGTGGTCGCAAAGGTGGTTGCAACCAGGCGTCGCAAACCATTTTTATATGTCGCAAATATGGTTGCAACCATCACCAAGAATTGCGACCAGCATCTATATTAATGATATTGTAGAAATTTTAATTACCAGTTTGCGCATTAACTTGCTTACTTAATGATTCATTGTGAATTATTGTTTTATTATTTGAAAGAGAAACAACTTCTTGTGATTAATATCATTTTCACGAGATAAAATTATATATTTTTGTGTAGTTTTACAAGTTTTGCAAAAAACTATCAATTATGCATGAAATAAAAAAGCAAGTTATGTGTTAATTATGCATAAATATTTTTTTAAATTAAATATTAATTGTTACTATCATTATGAGCTTTATTTATTGCAATGATTATCAACAGTTAATTTACGGCTCCACTCAATAGAATTATCACCAAAAAAACAAAAGTATCCCATACAAATTTTTCAATATTTAATGTTGATCATGTGATATGTGGCAATTTTGGCAATTTTGGACACTATGTAATCCAATGATATCTTGTGCGATTTTGCTTTTATTATTATTTATTGTTGTTTAATTTTTTGATCTTGTATTACCAACAAACAATTTTTTCTTCCCATCTAACAAAAACTTCCCGATAATAATTAATATTATTGATTTTTATCAAGTATGTTTTTTATATTTTATACTATTATTTTTGTTGATGCTATTTATCGTTATGTACTGTATATTCATCTAATATTATTATAATGATTGTTTTTAAAAAAACAAAGTATCATGGGGGTTTTTGTATCGGCCACCAGCCACCAAGAACAAAGCCAAACAAGTCAACAATCACAGTACTTATGTTTTATATTTTATATTTTATATTTTATTATTTTTGTTGATACTATTTATCTAATATTATTATGTTTTTTTTTTTTTTAAAAAAAAGGATGGGAACGGACGGACGGACGGACGAAGGACGGAAGGAAGGGAGCGTTAATTTGCACTACTGACTAACTAAACCACGAATTGGGTTAGCAGTCGATCGGAATCCGTCGACTTTCCCTCTACTTAGTGAGAAATTACTTTGTATGGAAGTGCTACACGATCGTCACTTACTAAGTATTTAATTATACTTTTAAAACGATCCGGACTCCTCGTTAGGAGTTTGAGAGACCCTTGTATGGTGCTGTAGTCAGTAGTGCCCGCTGATCTTTTTTATAAAAGAAATGATGATAGAGCCATATTTAATCTAATGAAAAAATATATAATTATATAATAATAATATGGCAATTGGCGATGATGAACAAGAGGGTTTGAAACTTCTCTTTATAGTGAAATGATATTAACTTCTAAAGTCCTTACTGGTATGTCGTCGTACGTACATTTTAGCAGTAAGGATCTGAGCCAATTATTATTTTTATTATTTATTATAATTATCGTTATGAATAAATTAAATAAACAAAAAATATTAAATGTCAATTATATCATTATCAATTTTTTTTTCTGATGTATATGTTAATTAAAATTTGAAATCCGTGCACATTATGTTTTTTTGTTATAAACTCGAACTTCGTTGTTAAAGTAAAATGAAAGTACTCCATTAAAGCTTTCTAATGAATACATTTTCATACTGAAAGGTACATAAATTCACGGCTATTCAAAAACGGTATTAATTTTTCATTTCAAACCTCAAATTATTTTTTAGTATTGCTTTAAAAGACTTGATAGAGAAGATGTAGAATTCTTTAAACTTTCATATGGTTATTACTTTATGGGACGTTGGTTAATAAGTTTTAGAAAGGTTCACGAAAAACTATTTTATAGAAATTTAATAGTCATGACCTCTTATTAATTTTTATTATTTATTTTATTTAGAAGGAAAAATTTTTAAAAAAAAAGAGAAAAAGAGAAAAAATCATTAATCGATTTGATTGGTTACATTTGTAATATCAATCAGTAGTTGTTATAACAACATTAAACAATAATATTAGTAGCAAACAATGACAACGAATCATCATTTATTGAAGATATTAAGATCCAGTTTGTGTAGTAGTGATCGAAGTAAGTGTTAAGGGTAAGATCTATGGAGCATTGCAAAATGTACTAACGAATGTTTCATCAATTATTCAATAGTATGTATAAAATCTATGAAACTTGCAAAATATACTAACGAACATTTTATCAATTATTCAATATTTTGTATAGGAGTGATCGAAGTAAGTGTTAAGAACAAGATCTATGAACAAAATATACTAACAAACGTTTTATCAATTATTCAATATTTTGTGTAGGAGTGATCTAAGTAAGCGTTAAGAACAAGATCTATGAACAAAATATACTAACGAACGTTTTATTAATTATTCAATAGTTTGTGTAGGAGTGATCAAAGCAAGTATTAAAGACAAGATCTATGAAACTTGCAAAGCAAGTTTTACAAAAATAAACGTTTTATCAATCATTAAATAGTTATGTTTTATTATTTATAAATTTCTCTTTTTTAACTTATATATAATAATATTGCTATGATAAATAATTAATCTGTCCAGTTTAACTGCGGTTTGGCTTACACGTATATAATTAATTTTTATTGGTCGGACCAACTGGTCGTGGCCCTAGATTTATAGATAGCGTTTTATGTGATTTTTCAAAAGATAAATATGTATTATTACTGCTGCCACTTTGTTACTGCCATTATCAATACAACCACCATTCAATTCAAAACTCCAGTTTAACAATGGGGTTTCAAATTGGTTTAACAAAATTAAATAATGTTCCTTTTTTCCGCAAGAATATCAAGTTCAAAGTAGCAAAAGAGCTGATAATGCCCACCACTTCAACTTCATTTGTTCAAGCATTTGATACAATAATGCAATTTGAATACACTTATACCTCATCATCATCATCATCATCATCATCATCATCATCATCATCATCATAGTTCAAATTCCTAATTATTCACGAATCATTAGAACTACTTCAAAAGTAGATGAATATTTTATGAAATTCAGAAGTACCGTCCACATATAGTGGAATTGGAAAACTCCAGCTGATACCATATCTGATGAAGATAATAGTAGTGATGTTTAAAAATAGCTTTAATTGTTGGAATGGACAAAAAAAATTTTTGATTTATTATAAAAATAAATTATTAAACTTGGGTTTGAATCACGGTTCAAACCACGATAGTATGCGTTCGCTAGTCAAACTGGCAGCTTATAAACCGAACCGTTACATCCATATTTACAAGTACACACAAGATTTCATTTTGGAATAAAAAATTTCAAGCAAAAACTTTTGGTCAAAATAAGTGATCTGCTAGTTTACACCTATTCTTAGAATAAAAATTTCAAATCTGAATGTCACCTTGGAATAAAAAAATTTCAAACGTACGTAAATATCCAAGATGTAAAATAACATTTCTCAAAGACATCACCTCGGGATAAAAAGTATGGACGTGATGTACTTGGATGTGGCAAAAAAATTTGTTTCTAAATCTGTAAATCCGCCAAATCTTGATCTCAAGAAACATAAATTTAATAATAATAATGAGTTTATATTATCGTCTAAGCATTTCCTTTTTAAAAAAAAGTATATTTTCAAAAAATGAAAACTCCAATTATTAAAAATTTTCCAAACTCTCTAAAAGGTATTTATTGTGCTTAAAAAAAAAATTATAAAATTTCAATTTATTTATATTATTTTTAATAGATTGTTGGGTGTATATCAACAATGATGATGATGAAATCAAAAAGATCATAGAAAACCGTCATAATTATAATTCCAATATCAATAAAAATTATGATAAAGTTGAAGATAATGAAATTGAAATAGTGATGAAGATGGAAATAAATTGATAATGAAGTTGATAGTGAGAGTGACAATGAAAATAATGATCAAAGTAATGATGAATTTTTTTGTACAGCTCCAAACTGTGGTAAATCTTTCAGGTGTAAATCATCACTTAACCAACACAGTAAAATTGAAAAAGATATCAAGTGTGAATATCCAGGATGTAACAAAGCATTTTATTTTAATGGAAATTTACTAAAACATATGAGATATCATCTTGGAATAAAAAACTTCAAGTGTGAATATCCAGGATGTGCAAAAGCATTTTATCAAAATAGTCATTTGCTAGATCATACAAGACGTCATCTTGGAATAAAAAACTCAAGTGTGAATATCCAGGATGTGCAAAAGCATTTTATCAAAATTGTAATTTGCTAGATCATACAAGATGTCATCTTGGGATAAAAAATTTCAAATGTGAATATCCAGTATGTAACAAAGCATTTTGTCAAAAAAATGATTTACAAGTACATGCAAGACATCATTTTGGGATAAAAAATTTCAAATGTGAATATCCAGAATGTAAAAAAGCATTTTCTCAAAAAAGTAATTTACTAAAACACACAAAACATCATCTTTAAATAAAAAATTATAAACGTGATGTAACAAAAGACTTGTCACCATATCTGAATTCAAGATACATAAATCTAAAAATCATTAAAGATTTTTAGTAAATTAATTCACCCAATCATACTTGTGTATTATTACACTGACCTTTTTTTTCTTTAAAAGCATATTTCAAATGAATAAAACAATAAAAAAATTCCAATTATTAAAAAATTCCAAACTCTAAATTAATATTTGTCTGTTTTAACAGATTATTAAGTGTATATTAATAATGATGATGATAATCCAAAAAATTACCACAACTATGATTACAGCACCAACAACAATGATAATGAAAATGTTTATGATGGCAAAATTTATGATGGTAAAATGAAATAGTGAGTTTGATAATGAAATTGAAAAATGAAGATGGCAATGAAAATTGTGATCAAGTAACAATGGATTTTATACAGTTTCAAATTGTATTAAATCTTTCAGGACAATAAATCCATGGTGAAAAAAATTTCAAATGTGAATAACCAGGATGTAACAAAGCATTCTATTTTAATGGCAATTTATTACAACATACAAAACGTCATCTTGGAATAAAAAAATTCAAGTGTGATGAATATCCAGGATGTACAAGAGCCTTCCTCAAAAAAATCATTTACTAGATCATGCAAGTTGTCATCTTTGAATAAAAAACTTCATGTGTGAATATCCAAGATGTGTAAAAGTACACCTTGGAATAAGTATAAATACCTGGGATGTGCAAAAACATTTTATCAAAAAACTGAATTACCAAATAACACAAAATGTCATCTTGGGATAAAAAATTTTAAATGTGAATATCCAAGATGTGCAAAAGCATTTTCTCAAAAAAGTCATTTATTAGAACACACAAAACGTCATTTTGGAATGAAAAATGAATATCCAGGATGTGCAAAATTACTTTCTCAAAATAGTGATTTACAAGATTCCATAGAATGTAACAAAACATTTTTATCAAAAAATTAATTTACAAGTACACACAAGGTCTCATCTTGGAATAAATGTGATGTGTCTGGATTATACATGTAGCCCAAAGTATTTTGACACTGTCATAAAGGGTGTTACACACGTAGTAAAGGAGTGTTACACTTATGTTTTTAATAGTGAATGCCGTAATTAATTTCTACTTTCTACCATCAAAATTGCCAAACCAATTTGGGCTGCATGTATAGTCTGGATTAAGGCTCCAAACAAATCAATGAAATTTGAGTATATATCATTAATTAGTTATATTTGAATTTATTAATGTATTACTTTTTTATTCGTCATTACATTATCATTATTGTTATAATGATGGTGGGCCGAAACTACCTTACTTAGTCCAAAATTAATTTGGGCGAAACTAATTTTAATGGCTGAAATTGGACGAAGTTTTTTAAAATAAGTATTGATTTGCAAGATTTTTATGCATTAATTAAAATCTGTTTATTTTATTTTTGCCATTATAATTGATAATTACAAGCATAATGGAAATCAAATAGTTAATCTTTGACAATGTTGTTCTGAATTTTTTGGATCTTGAAGACATTTTTTATAATAAATATATTGTTAGATTTTGTATATATTGAATATTTAAAGATTATATAATTATTATAAAAAAAATATATGCCATAATTATTTATGATATAAATTTGCATTTGTGATCTTAAATCTGTATAATTTCTATATATAAATTATTAAATTCAAAATTAATAGTCATGCAAACCTTTCTAAAGTTCTATTAAATTACAAGAAGCATCATCAGTTTTTAAATTAATAAAGTCTTGAGCTTGTAATCATTTCACTTCTTCACATTTTATCACATATATATGTGCTTGCAAAAATCATCTATGGTGCAAGTCACCTAGTCCCGCAACTTCC